GGTCCAAGTTACTTTCCAAAAAGATTTTTTTTTATGTTTTGTGTGTTGTGTGTATATGTCTTTTTGGGGGGAGAATTAGTTAAAAATTGTAGAAATATAGATTGAGAATAATGGTAACTAAGTCAGAAAGAAACAGATGAAATAATAATAATGATATTGAATAAGACTAAAGAGAAGTAAAGAGAAATTGAATAAGAGGTTTTGGTATGTTGTATGGAAATGGTTTAAAACAGAATTATAATTTATCTGACTTGTTAAATTGACAATGAAAAAAGGTTTAAACATGTAATGAATAATGACAATTTGTGTGTTTTAAAAATTAATAAAACTTGTTTAAAAAAAAAAAAAAAAAAAAATACAGAAGCCTGATGATGGCAGATGAGATTCCGCTGAAACGTTGCTACAACTTTAAAAGAACAACTACAATGACGTGGGAAAATACCCGAACAAAGCCGAAGGCCATACATGTAAGTACCTGCGAAAACTTAAGAAAATATATATATATATATATATATATATAAAATTTTTAATTGGGTTTGAGAGAAATGGAAAGCCGATGTAGTTGGTTCAAATGATATAACAAATGATGCATTTCTGGAATGCTGGCAAGACAAAACTGTGATCAATAATTCCTATACTTGCTGAAGTCTTCAAATATTCTTCAGGAAGAGCTTCATCGAGTGCATATTACAACTATCTGAAGGAATGTTATGAAAATAAGGCTCATGATCAACTTTCTCCTGGATGGATAAAACTGGCATACAATTTGCCTACTCTCACTATTGCCTACTCTCACTATCCATAGACAATTTCAGGACGTCTGTATAGGTTGAAGAAAAATAAATACACATTTTAATGAGAACCATCTGAAAAAAGTTAGATGACCTCCATGCCAACTAAGTAATATGCCAGCATTAGCTTTAATAATAGAGAACCAAAAATATGTATTCTGTCAAGGAACAAGGCCCTGCCATATGAATCAAATCTTATTTATCATAAGTAATCAAGTAAGCTTAAGAAAAGAAAGTGTAGGTTAGTAGGAATTTCTCCAGCATGGAACACATCAAGAGGGGCATTGCTTGGGCAACTGGCACTGATGTTGCTTCATTCACTTTTCTTGACATGCCACTGGGACTCTAATTCAGAGTATATATCATTCTCAAAACAAATATTAAAATTTATTGCATATTAGCAGATGATAAGGAAAAGATACATATAACCAATAAGAGCTTTTCCTTACTTCCCAAGTGAGATATTCCTTCACTCAGATAGTCACGTCATAATGGGCATTAAGACTATTCAATTTCCACCGATATATCATTTAGGAAGGCCAGTAATAGAATCCCCTTTTTCTATGAAGCTTCCTTATGTTTCAGGATATTCTTACACCAAGAAGATGAACGCTTATACTTACACCAGCTGATGAAGCTGAAAATTGAGTCAACCAAATTATATTGATAAATCAGAATTTACTATCCCTTGAATTCAATGTTGCAAGTGATTCTGAACAACTATATCAGCAAAGTTATATAATAGTCACATAAAATTTCTAAGATTTCCCCCTTACTATTGTAGGGGACAATATAGGTTCTTTCCTACTCAAATAATTCCATAGACAGTATTGTTTAAACACTAACCTTTTCTTTGCTCTTGCTACTACAGTATGGAGAAAGATAAAGAATATTCCCCAAAAGTTAATATGTGCTTTATTGGATATAGAAGACCCTTGACATGTGGTTATCATGTCAAACTATGGAATGTACTTAGGAAATTGATCGGTTAGGAAACAATACTCAGGCTGAACATAGTGAAACTGATCGTCTCTAGGTTGTCAAAGGTATAAGGCAAAGCTATATATTCTCTCTTTATTTGTTTAACTTATAAACTGGATCAGAATTAGACAAATATAATCTAAAAATTGGAGGAAGAAACATCAACATCCCGGCTTATGCTGGTAAAACTATCCTGTTACTAACAATACAAACAAGCTGCAACCTCTAATAAGGAATGTCACAATGGAAAATGGGACAAATTTTACATTCAATGAAGGCCAAACTAATGACAGCAGGTACAATAATGGTCCTTAGAACTGACAATAAGCATATTCAATCCATTGATGATTGATTGATTGATTGATTGATATTGAAGTGGTAGGGTAATTTCTGTCTTTTAGGATCAACTATCAACAATAAAGGAATCAGCAATCAAGAACTATGTCATATATTAGCACTTGGTTTAGCAGCAATGAATCCTGGAAAATATATTCAGATGCCATCATCTTAATCTAGAAAAGCCAGATTAGTGCAGGCAATGGTTTTACTTATCCTTTGCACTCTATGAAACTTGGCATTTGAAGAAGCACAGAAAGAATATTTATGCTACTGAACTTAAGAATAAAGGGAATAACCAATCCCTCCCATATCCCCCCCCCCAAATGGATGATAGAACAAATCAACTCAAATGAACATTCAAGGAACAAATGAACAAGCTCAAATGTCCATATTACTGGAAAAGGTACAAGGAAAGAGAAGGGGAAAAAAAAGAGGACAACCAGCAACCAAAAAATCCAATTGCCTCTTGAAAAAAGCTTTGGGAAGATCCTGGAGGGAAAAAAAATCTATCTACAATGACTAATATTGACTTGGTGGCATATCAGCCAGTTAATATTTTGATGCTAAGGACCTTATACTAACTTCTTAAATATTTAGAAACCAAAGAGAGTATGGTGTGTGTCAAAAGAGAGTTACCTAGTCAAATTTCTGTTTCATAGATTAATCTGGAATAATTTTTAAAACTTTATGAATTCTCCCGAATCAATTACTATTTGATGATATTCTACTTTATTGTAGATGGAATATCCTTTAAATGAAATTCAATGTTTCACTTTTTGTGTCAGTAACCCATTAAATTCTACTCATTAAACTAGTTTCACAAGCTTACATTTTGGAAAATAATACCTACAATTTATTTGTGCAAGGATTACAGCTTCAAAAATTAATCATCCCCTGCATTTCATAGAATTTCCCTTCTGCTTTTTTCCCCTTACATTCAGGCCAATTCCTCAGCTAAATGCACTGCAATTAATGTGGTTATCCAATTAATTTAGGTTCTTTCAGCAGAGTGTTTTATTTTCATCTCAGGTGATATATGCAATAATGTAATTCATACATTTTGCACCAACTTAACGACTAAAAAAATAGAAAAATGCTATGACATTACAGAACATATCTGATGAAGCTTTTATTCTGAAGTTTAAAATGTCAAATATATAATTTTTTTTTTAAAAAATGTATAGTTTAGGACAGGGGTGTCAAACACAAGGATCACGGGCCAAATCCTGCCCATGATGTGGTCGGATCCAGCCCATGGGGCCATTTGTAAGGGGTCAGTCCACGTGGCTTCAGCCCAGTCTACCCAATGCGAAGAGGAAACATCAGGCCAGCGTGGCTTCAGTCCAGTCTACCCAATGCAAAGAGGAAACATCAGGCCAGCGTGGCTTCAGCCCAGTCTACCCAATGTGAAGAGGAAACATCAGGCCAGCATGGCTTCAGTCCAGTCTACCCAATGCGAAGAGGAAACATCAGCCCACGTGGCTTCAGCCCAGTCTACCCAATGTGAAGAGGAAACATCAGGCCAGCCTGGCTTCAGTCCAGTCTACCCAATGCGAAGAGGAAACATCAGGCCAGTGTGACTTAAGCTGGTCAACCCAATGGGAAGAGGAAACATAGGCCAGCATGGCTTCGGTCCAGTCTACCCAGTGTGAAGAGGAAATATGCCAACAGTTTGGGGAATGGCATCAAGCTGGGTATGCTCACCCAGTTGGCAACACCCAGTGAGTGGTGTCAAGATGGCCACACCCACCCAGTCAGCCACTCCCCCTGGCCCCCTGAGGTCAACCAGAGCCCTGAAGTGGCCCTCAATGAAATTGAGTTTGACACCCCGGGTTTAGGACATATCGCAAAACTGCTTTATGTATCAAGCATTTGTCCAAAAGATAAAAAGACTTAGAGGCTCTTGAGATGACTCTTTATCATCATTGACGGTAGAAAAGAATACTATTGATGCTCTTACTTTCTACACTTTCATCATTTTGAAGGGTTCCCTGGCTATCTACCTACCCTGTCCAAGGTAAAAAAAAAAGAAGAAGAAGGGTTAAAATAGAGAAATTCTTTCTTTATAGGGATTTAATTGAAGCTAGGAAGCTAATAGTTACAGACTGCTGGACAAATAACTGATCAGTGAAAGGTGGAAGACATAGACTTCCTACATACCCTTTCTTGTAACAAAATAAGTGCAAGAACCCAATGATGAAATTCTATTTTCCTTTGAAAGAAATTTTGAAAGCCTATTCTTTATCACAAAATTGAATGAAAAGTGATGGAAAATGCAGGAATAATTATTCTTTATGGCACTGCAGCAGATTGAGAACTTTGGGAAAAGTTTGGGATATTCTTTGGGAAAAGAGAAAACGAGTGTAAGTGCAATCAGGCAAACAGTTACTTATCTGCTTTTTCCTACCTCTCTCTCTCTCTTCTTTTCCCTACTCTACCTATAACTCAACAGGAAGAATGCCAAGGCTAAATATAATATATGTCCTGGTTCTAATTGCAGGCAGATGGAAAACTGTAAGGCTGTATTATTCAAGCTGCCTTGGTCTTAAGCTTTTGATAAACACAGTGAAATTTGAAAGCATGGACAAGGAGGTTGGGCTAACATTCCAGTAAAATGAGGGCAACAAAACTCAGAAATCTGTGGAGTTTGTTTTCCCTCAGACCAACTTGTTTTAATTAACTACAAAATGAAAGCCATTCTACTTTCATTATAAATTGCCTATATTGTTTCTATGCTTCAACTAAATATGCAGAGCAAAATAAAGTAGAATTCAACCTATATTAGAAGTCCATCGATTAAATTTCTCATGCCTGCATGGATTAAATTTAATTTATACATAGACTAAAATCTATAAATCACTCAAATACATAACCTGATAATTCTCTTACCATAGACAATGACAGCAGCAGTGGTGCTCTTTCTTTTTGCCACAATATTTTTGGCAACACAAGTATAATTGGCTGTATCAGAGAGACGCGCCTGCTTTATGATCAGGTTGTGATCAATAGTGATATAAAAATTTCGGTCTTCAACAGGGTCTATCACCTCTTCGTTTTTCAGCCACTCAACCTGTTGAGAGATTCACAAATATGATCAGATAATATGAAGCACTCTGGTGAACTACATTTTTAATTACATGTATTTATATTCCTTGACAGATTAATAATTCTCTCAAAGCACTTTGTCAATTACATGTACAAAACAAGTAAATAAACATAAGCAAAAATACATTTTAAATACAAACACAAACAAGCAATTGTCAATAATTATCTTCTTCTAGGAGAGCTGATAGGTCTCGATTTGGATCACAACTGACCAACATTTTTACTGCTGAGCAATACAATTGTTAAGTGAGTTCTGCCCCACTTCACAACCTTTTTGTCACAGTTGATAAATGAATCACTGCAGTCATTAAGTGAATCATGTGGTCCTTAAGTGAATCTGGCTTTCCACATTTGACTTTGTTTATCGGAAGCCAGCTGAGAAGATTACAATGGTGATCACATGACCCTGGGACAGTGTAATTGACATGCCAACTGACAAGTAGTAAGCCCAAATAGGGATCACATGACCATGGGAATGCTACAAAGGTCATAATTATAAAAAAATGGTCATAAATCACTTTTTTCATTGTTGGAATGTTGAATAGTCATTAAACCAATAGTTGCAAGTCGAGGACATAGGTTAAACATATTTCACCAAAATATAGTGGATACAGGAAAAATGTCCAGCTGAAAAGACCTGTAAGGTAGTTGTTACCTTTACACTTCTTTTTATTTCAGGAAATTCCAGAGTTCATTGTGACAACTATTAGTGGTCAATAGCCCTAGAAACATGAGGAGACCATGTATTGCCAAGGCAAATCTAGATTTCCTATCAAGATGTGCTCAAGTATATTTTGACTTGTAATTATTTTTATCCTACTTTTCAATCAGGGCACAGTGACTCAGTGGTTAAAGATGCTCAGCTTGTCACCTGGAAAGCTGACATCCCGGGTTTGAGACCCGAGTGCTGCAGGATGGGGTGAACTCCCATTACTTGCCCCAGCTCCTGCCCATCTAGCAGTTCAAAAGCATGCAAATGCGAGTAGATAAATGGGTACCACTTCAATGAGAAGGTACAGCATTCTGTGAGCCTCAGCATACAGTCATGTTGGTCACATGTCTTCAGACAATGTCTTCAGACAATGCTGCCTCCCTCAGCTAAGAAACAGGGATGAGAGCACTACCTCCTAGAGCCGGACACAAGTGGACAAGGGAAACCTTTACCTTTTACTTTACCTTTCACTGGAAACTGAACAGTGAATTTTTAAATTTAAAGAATAACAGCATTCGGTGACCTCTTTATGCAGAATGTTAACAACTACGGTTTTAGAGAACTCTGTGGAATCTATGAGGGTCACGATCTTTTGAAACAAATGATTTTTCATTAATAACTTAGTAGGAACATAGGTTAAACATATTTCACCAAAAATAATGCATCTTTTGTTGACTTAAAATAAGATACTGTTTGCCGTATATACTGTATGGGTATACGTGTATCAATGTGACTCTGTATGACTTGGATATACAATCACACTCTGTATTCATACAAATATTTGGTGGTTTTTTGTTTTTTTTAAAGGGCATTTAGAAAGGCTGGAATGCTTAAAGACCTAAAAACATGTTCCTCAAGCTATATAATATTCCATTCATTTCTATAATCAAGAAGCACTCCAGTCTCTTGGAACTGCCTGAGGTAAGTTAGTCTACATAAATTGGCTGAACATTTAGTAGCTTATTTGCTTTTGAACTGAGCATGTTTTACAGCCTGGGATGGATCAAAGAAGTGCCTTCATGTCATTAGATCACTGGAATTTATGCCCAGCACTTTAATCAAATAAAAAAAAATTCCTGCCCCTGGCCAACCCAATGGAATACAGAGAATTCTCACAACAAAGAAAGACCTGGTTCGCCCAGACAAACATGCCCTTTACTCTAAACAGTTTGAACACTTGCCCAAAGAAGATGGAAAGCCAAGAAACTTTGCTCCTCTGTTTTTTTTTTAAATCACAGAAATGACTGTGATCAATCATTCATCTAGGCAGTTGGGCCTTCTTCTGATTTTGTTAACATAAAGCTTGATTCTTTTCTTATACAAATGATTGAATGTTTTTAAATAACACCTTTGTTAGTTTATAGTGTAACATGCAAAGAAAATACAAAAGTATTTCCCCCACTTTTATCTTTCCCTTTTCCTTCCCTATTTTTTCCTATTATTTATTTTTGTATTTTCTTCGTATGCTACAAATCACTGAAATTATGCTTAACAAAATCCATCCCATTTAACATAGGAACATGAATATTCTAACTCATGGGTGTCAAACTCAATTTAACTGAGAGCCGCATCAGGCTGTGGTTGACCTTGGTGTGTGTGTGTGTGTGTGTGTGTGTGTGTGTGTGTGACTGGGTGGGCGTGACTAATTTGACACCATTCCCCAAACTGCTGGCATGTTTCCTCTTCTCACTGGATAGACCGGGCTGAAGCCATTGGGTAGACTGGCTTGATCTTTCCTCTTCGCATTGGGTAGACCGGGCTGAAGCCATTGAGTAGACTGACCCAATCTTTCCTCTTCGCATTGGATAGACCAGGACACTCCAGCAGGCCAGATCCAACCATTTCATGGGCTGGATGCAACCTGTGGGCCTTGAGTTTGACACCCTTGTTCTAACTGGATATTTTGTTTTATCACCTAAAATAAAATGTGGTTGCAAAGTATGCAACTCTTCGTTCTCAGATCCATACATTAATGTTCATCAAATTAATATTTTTCAATACAGAATTACTAATGATTCTATGCACTGCATAAATGAATTATTTCTAGTGGAAACTATTTCATTTAAAATAGTGTGAAATTACATATATTTTCTGTGATAAAATACCACATGCAACCATGCCTTAATAAATCTACAACCTTAGATTTTTCTTATTCTGAAATTATATTTCATGCCAGAATGTTAGGCAAAGAATATTTCTTCATGGAAACAGTCATTATAATTTATAGAGTGATTGTCTATCACATGCATTCATCCTATATTTTAAGATAGCCCTTTCTAGGCATCTGGGATTTTAAACAGCTACACAATTTGTACAATAGAACCAAAGGCAATGGTAGTATTCCTTATTGCACTCCTGCACTCACGTATTTTCCCTAATACTTTCAGGAATGTAATTCTCAAAATAGTCAGCTTTAATATAATCTAATATATATATATTGGGCACTATCAGATTGTTCTTATTGAAACTAGATTCCACCACAGTACAGCACTTAGATGCACTTTTCAGGTATGTTTTGGAGCATATGGAAATATATCATAGCACCTGCAACTCTATAAACCAAATGTTTTTTGTTGTCATAATTACCCAAGAAGGATACACAATTTGCAGAAGATAACAAGCTCACCCTTGACATAATCATAGTCCTTTGTTCCTTGCCCTATTTTCGTACAGTACTGTAGCATCTTACAGAGAACATGGACAATATGTATAAAGATAGATAATATTCCATGTTCGCTTATTCACCAAGAGGTAATGGTAATGCAACCCACACAGTAGATACAGCCTGTGGCAACATTAGGTAACCTTGACTTTGACTAGAGGCAAGACCTGGATAGCAGTTGGGGTGGGATTACATGATTGCTCTGTGATGCCCAAGGAAAGGCACAACTTCTTGAAAGGGTTGCAGATAGGTGCCATATTTGTGTTTTCACATGTTCCGAATGTCTTTTTTGGAGACTGAAAATCGCACAGCTATATTTATTTCACAAATGAAGATAAATATACATGACGTTTATTTACTTCCATGTACAAATGTCAGCTCGATGACAGTCTGTGAAGCAGAATTTGTCTTAGTTTACTTTCTTGGATTATAAAGAAAAATCTTACTGCATATTATTATATTAGCTCCCATACAATCTTATGGAAAAAAAAACAGAATTCTGATAAAATGAGAAAAATGTGATATCTTGCATTTCAGAGATGAAGTAAGCAGTGGAATGTATAAAGGTCCTATCTTTCACAATGTGTGTGTGTGTACATGATGGTTACATGATTTAGGAGAAAAAAAAGCAGTGTGTGTATGTGTACACACACACATACAGCTTTTTTTCTCCTAAATCATGTAACCATCTACCCAAGCAGCCTAGAAATCATAGATGGCAAAGTGAATATTGATTAAAATGTGCCTTGAATTTGCTATGTAAAGAAATGGATAAAATATCTCTAAGATAGTGGCAGAAATTAAGAAGGAAAGCCAGCTAGTAAGTACTTTTTTGTTTTTTTGTTTTACTTTTTAAGGCAACCTTTCAAAGAGCACCTGTTTTTCCCCTTTCAAAACATTTTTCAAGCTAAAGTCTTTTTCAGAGCTGCTAATATTTTTCTCTAAAACTCATCACACACAGAGAATAAGCATTCCAGTCATTTTCCAATGTTTGATGTGCCTAATTTATCAAAGAAGACAAGATGTTGCATTTAAAGCTCCTTAGGTTGTTGAAACCACAGGTCTTATTTGTAGGGCCTTTTAGTAATGAGTCACTTATAATGTCCTTAGTAATAGTACTAAATGTCAAATTAAAATTGATTCAGCTATAAACATATAACAATTGCTCCAGAATTAATACCTGTTCTGAATAAGGCATTTCTTCATTTAAAGCTTTTATAGAAAATGCCAATATAATTTGGAATTCCAAAAATACTGAAGTTTTATGCCTATGTTCAAAGAATGTACCGAACCAAAATGTCAGATCACATTTTAGCATAACATGCTATATGAACCCATTCCATTGTATAGTAATATTCAGTGTGTTTTGCCAAGTCATAAAACAGAGTTAATTGAGGAAATCACAGTTAAACATAGATAACCATGTAATTCATATTAGGAATTATGCTTCCTTATACAAGCTACATACAATAAACCATTTTTCAGCCTCTGTTCTGGAATTACTCCCAGAGTATACAAGTTGTTCTTCATTCTTAGCCTCTGCCAAGACATTATTTCTTTCATTTTATATCTTAACACATCTTTCTAGGCT